GCAGACATAATCAGTGTATTAAGATTTGGGACGCAAAAGCCCTCAGTAATTTGCTGGGAGATAATCAGGTAACCATTGCAGTGATTATTTCCGAAAAATAAAAAGCATTAGTACAAAAAAATACCTGGTTTTTCAATACATACTCGTAAAGCAAAATCAACATCATAAGGTACCGAATTCTTGCTATAGCCATATTTCTCAAAATACTCCAACAGTTCTTCGGGTTTAAACCTAAAAGCACAGAAATGACTGCCAACGTGCTGCGGACCAGCTCCATCGCCACGCCATTCATTTATAAAATCGATCAATAAAAAGAAAAAAGAAAAAGGTGCCGAGTTGCAAAATTCGACGGAATGGATGCAAAAATTAGTTAGAGACGCACAAAATTCAGTCGCAGAGATGTAAATGTTTGCAAAAAAAGTAAATAATTTACCTAAAAAAAACAAAAAACTCAGATAAAAAAGTTCTCGATTAGATAATCAAAAAAAAAAAAAAAACATTATAATTAGTGTTTAAAAGAAAAAAAGAATTAAATCCAATCAAACGAGATACCAATGCTGCAGGTAATCATTATCCCGAATAAAATGGTAACTAGAAAAAAGATGAGTAAATTGCAAAAACTCACTCAGCACAAAGCGATATCATAAAATTATGCATTGCTCGGCTTGCCAGATTTTCATTGATCACAAAATTAAGATACTTCAAAGCAGCCGTAACCTGCAAAATATTCACGTTCTTGACTGGGGAACAATAAATCTCCCACAATCCAATATTTGTGAAATATCTCTTAAACTCCCTTCGCCAGCAAAAATCTTCACAAATTTACACTTTAGCAGACCCGCTGACTTCTACTGGTTTCAGATATGCCGATGAAATTACATATTTAACTAATAACGGACACAGAACAATGGCAAGCAGCGATATTCTCGTGCTAAATCTCGAGGGGTCGATTTTACCAGCAAGTCAACCAAACGATCTGTTCATAAGTTTCGAAACTTACACAGATTACTTTCAGAAAAGTATCACTGAGAGCTCTGCCAGCTTACTAGCAACTAGAGCTAATTTCAAACTCATCCTGAACAGAATGGGTACCAAGAGGAAATTTCGATTTTTTACTCGAAATTTTGATTTTTTTTACTTGTCATCGAAAAAAGCTTATAAAATAACCATTTTCGTATTGGATACATCCTGACATCGATACAGTGCTGGTAGAAGCCGATCCGAAACAAGCGCTTTACCTTCTTCAATCCATGCTGCTATCAGTTCTGTTGGGATTTTCTCGATCAATAACGGAGAATGCTTGTAGTACAGTTCCAACAGATGCTATAATTTACAAAACTATTTAATTTCAGAAAAATTTTTCCAACTGAAAAGATTAAAACATTCCCAAAAACATCTTTCTTAAACCCATAAACTCTTTGCTGTTTCTAGGTGTAAACGAATCAAGGCAAAAAACAAAATTTATTACCTGTTTTTGAATTACTTCCAGCACTCTTTCGTATTCCGATTGCAACAAATGAACATTTACAACTGTTGTGTAATCTGAAATTGAAATCAATAGAAAGTATCATTTAACAAAGTATTGAAGGCAACCCAAACGTAGGGGAAAGCAGTAAATACATTGGCGGAAAAATATATTAGAACGTTTCTGATTAGTTAAATGAGTGCAAGTTTAATGAAACAGATTTGAACTAAGAAATGTATACGACTTAATGGACCGAAACATTTCTTACTATTATATTTTACAGTACTTTTAAAGTTTATGAATTTCTTAATACTGTGTGTTTTTTATTCTTCCAACATTAAAATATTTTTATTACATGAGATCAATAAGCGAATGATTTGGTCGCCCGCAAAGATGGCACTTGTAACCCCATAATTATACCATTTCCCTCCTCCCACTAATACCTAATACTTCGACCTACTTCTCCCTCCCCCCCCCCTTCTTACTAACTTCTAACAGTTCCACCAAATTCTAAACGTTCCTGTACTATCTACCTCCCTACTCATTAACTAACTTGCCTTCCTTTTCCCTCCATTAATCTTCCCTATATAAACCCCCTCCTAAATCCAAACCCTCAGTCAGTTAGTTGGTGGAAATCGACAGTCAACGGCATCATTCGACCGTCCAACGCTGCAAGAATCTCGCCTCCCCATCGCCGGCGTTCTTCTATTGCACAGCTTGTGCAGTGCCCCGGCTTACCGTTTGACTGCA